CATTTATTTTTATTATACCATGTATAGTATAAATGTTTTTATTTTTGATTCTGTGTTTTTATATTATACCCAAACATAGAATTACGCCATAAACATAAATACAATGTATTAGTCTAACTTATTAATAATAAGTTATTATATTGGCATATATGCAACCACTAAACTACAAAAAATTTGATTGCTTTTAACAGGGCTCTCTACTTTTTTAGAGTTTTCTTATAATTTAGTGCATTAATTATATATCTTATAAATTCAAAACTCTACAATGAAGTTTAAAATCAAGAAATGCACATTTATAAAATATAAACATAAAGTATAACATATTTAAAACATAATAGTCCAACTTGCGTCATGTTAAAAATAAATATAAATTTTTATTATGTTATGAAAAGTAATAAAATACTAGTATGTTATATAAAACTGTGAATCTATTTTTTTGTTTCCGTTTCTCCAAAAAATTTCCAACTCACATGCACAAAAGCTAGATTTTCTCCATGTTCTGCAGTTGTTCGGGACCGTGTCGATTCATAAATATTTCCCCCAGTACTAAACAATCTTTCATTGAACACAGAAGAAGGCGGAGCTCCTAAATATTTTTTTGCTAGGTATGAGAGGTCTAAAATATTATTGCTACTAGAGTGTTTCTTTATACATGTATTTTTGTAATTTCCCCACCATTTATATGAACATTCTTTTTGATGCAGATTATGCAGTGATAAGTAAAAGTTTATTCCATCAGTTCTAAAAGAAAAGAAAGTAAGCAAAAAATATAAAAACTAAACTAAAATGTAAAGTACAAATTTTTATTATTAAAAGTTGTTAAATATTAATGAATATTAGTAATATTATTTTATTTTTCAATTTTTATTTGTTTATGATAATTTATTTATGATGTTTATGATATGATGAGTGGAGAGCTAGGTTCTTGGGTTGATTCAGATGAAGTGTTTGTTTCATTATCTGATTGAGTTAAGTTGCTGGTAGTTAAAAGGCAATCTGTAATATCAGTTTTATTTAGGTTCATGTATTTCTCTTGAATATTTGATTTTATTGTGTCTTTCTCCTCATCTGATATGGCATAACTAAGTTTGAATCTTGGATCTAAAACTGTAGACATGTTCAAGTTTTTGTTATATTTATAGCTGAAAAACCTTGAGATAAACTCTTTTTTCAACTCTTCTATTATAGTTTTTATTTCACCTGCATTTTCTGAAGCATAGGCTAGGTACGCTTCCATTGAAACTATAAATGGAATAATTTAAGACACTTATGCCCTATTTTCACTCATCTCTAGTGTAACCACCTCAAAATGCTTTAAAATTAAGATAAGCGTCTCAGCTAATAACCATTGGTCTTCATTAAGATTAGAGGCATTACACTTTTGATTTCTAATAAAAGATGTTAGTGAAGTTTTTTGTTCAACCATGGCCTACTTAAATTACACGGCCTGATTTGTTGCATTTTCCGTAAAAAATTAAGAGGCCAGTTTTTTTACGGCTTAAGTATAAAAACATAAATTTTGTTATGGTTAAGAGTCTTGTTTGCACTATAATTGTTTTATTTTTATTTTATTAAAATGGTTTAATATTAGTTAGATTTTCTTTGATTACTTAAATTATTTTGTGCTAGATTTTCTGTTAACTGTTTGTCTGCTTCAGTTTATTCCAATAAAAAAGAATACTGAAATAGGCTTTCAGATAGCTATATCAACACATATTAACATGCTACTAAAAATAATCTTACATATTGCTAAGACTACCCACAACTCTCCATTGGAAATAATTTTAAAGGTTTGTAATTTTGTATTTATTATAATTGCAATTATTAAGTAGAAAACATAAACTTTTCTTTAATTTATTTACACTGCAAAACTAGGTTTTGCAATTATTATGCTGCATGTCTCAAACATACAACAATTAAAATGTAACAAATCAGGCTATTTATTTACAGTAGCCAAGAAATATCAGACATACTAACTGTTTTGGAGTCAATAGCTGTTAATAAAATTCTAATTTTTTTCATTGCCAAATAAATGGTTATCATTCTTCTTTATTTAAATGGTTTCGCAGTGGTAAAAAATACAACTTGAAAAACTATAATATATTAGAAAAATCATTGACAAAAATTTGGTATTAAGAGATTATTTGCTTCTTGTGGGTAAGGTGTACTTTCAAAAAGCAGCCCAAAGTGGTAAACATTTTGATGAAGATTGAGAAAACAATCTTTATAAAGAATTTGTTTTTGTTTTTATGATTGTAGGGCTTCAAAAATTTATTCTTATGTTTTGAAATCATAACCTAAAGTTTACATAACAGGTTTATGTTTGAAAAAAGAAATTGATGAGTGTATTACCTCAATGCACCAATCTGAATTTAAGATAAGAACTATTGTTACCGATAACCATTTTACAAATGTTAATGCATTTTTATAGTTTCATAAAGCATATACTGGAGATGGAAAATTAGTAATTTTTCATTTAGTTTAGAAAGGGTATGTTTAAAATATACTTGTTATTTGATAAACTTGGTTTTTGTTTTTTTCTTCTTGTTGAAGTTACTGCTGATTACATTGTAGGGAATATATTTCTTAAAGTTTATTAAAAGATCACTTGTTAAACAAGCAAGAAAAAGCAAGAAAAATTAATTATCAAATCACATATTTTGGTAACAACAAACAAGTTGTCAACATCGACAATATTTGACAAAACAACTGCAGCTACAACTGCTAATTTAGAGTTATTTTTCTGAAAGAAATAACGCAGCACAATTATCATTGTTTTATAAGTTATTTATCATACTTAATTCAAAGCAGAAACTTAATTCATCTAATCAAACTCACCAATGCTGCTTTGAAAGGTGATAACAAACCCACACTTTATAGAGAAATTGCAAATTGTACTGAAATTTGATCAAAATAAAATTTGATAAATACCTGACATTAACCAAACAAACTTCTTGTGCTCTAATTACAACACTACACGCATTTGTATTTCTTATGCATGATTTCCTTGAAGAAGGCTTTACATTTGTTTATAGTAAATTTACAAAAAGATTCTTTGGAGCTAGGTTTTATTAAGTAGACTTTTTGTGAGCCTTTTAGAAATGTGCATAAGTAATAGCAAGTAAATAGCAGACTTTTTGTGAGCCTTTTAGAAATGAGCATAAGTAAAAAGATTTTGGCAGATTTTCCCAGAAAATATTTACCAGAATTTTAATAATCCTTAAAAAATATTATGCAAGATATTGCTTAGTTGTCTACATAAATACTACTGTCAGCTTTCTGAAGATAGCACAAATATATATACTAAAGCAAGTAATAATGGTAAAAGTTAACAAAAAGATTTTGATGTTAAACTTATGATCAATAAACATTACTTTATAAAGAGAAGAACCTATATATTCAATTCAACCTGTCTAATTTTTTATCATCTTTTTAGTATTTTATGTTATTTCTCTTATTCTAATAAAACATTGCAGTCATTCTTTTTTAATTAAAAATTTGCGAAACAAATTTTAAAGATTTGATCTAGCTGTTTCAATTTTACAAATAAAAACCACCAAAAATGGGAATCAAATATAGATCTCGTATTGTATTGCAAATTAATATAAAAAATATTATTACATTTTTTATAGTAATTTGCAAAAAAAAATTACATATTCATTTAAAAAAGATCAAGTAAAAGAATTACAAAAAAGACAAAATAAACATTTCTAGCAAAAATTTCTTCTTTTTATTTCAATTATAAAAAATACAAAACTACAAACCTTTTTTTTGCTCAATGGAGAGTTTTAGACAATCTAAGCAACATGAGAGATTATCTTAAGTAGCATGTTGGTATTGGTTGATATAGTTATCTGGAAGCCTATTTCAGTATTCTGTGTTGTTGGAATAAACTGAAGCAGGCAATCAGTTAACAGAAAATCTAGCAACAAATTAATGTAAGTACTCAAAGAAAATCTTACTATTATTAAACCATTTTAATAAAATAAAAATAAAACAATTATGGTGCAAACAAGACTCTTAACCATAACAAAAATTAAGTTTTTATACTTGAGCCGTAAAAAAACTGGCCTCTTAATTTTTTACGGAAAATGCAACAAATCAGGCCGTGTAATTTAAGTAGGCCATGGTTCAACTAGTCTTTCTCGCATGTAAAATGTCGAGTTCCATCTTGTTACTACATCTTGTATAAGTGAATGTTGGGGTAACTTTAGAATTTTTTTATAAACCAGCTTCCTTTATGGCTAATTTCGTATTAGTAGCATTGTCAGAGAGGACAAAGTACACACCGTTAGTTGGTATTTTCCATTCATTTGATGACGAAAGTGAATATTAATAAAACGAGCTTTTCAATTGAAGTAATTGCTCTAATTGTCAAGATAACAATATATATATATATATATATATATATATATATATATATATATATATATATATATATATATATATATATATATATATATATATATATATATATATATATATATATATATATATATATATATATATATATATACATACTTATATTTTTAAAAATTATGATTTTTATATAAAAAAATTTATTTGTGTTTAAAATTATATCTTTATCGATTACACTTAAGGTTTTTTGATTTTTCATACGGTACTTCTACAACCGTTAGCAAACTACGCCGCCATCTAGGTAGGCCTAAACTGGCTTCAAAAATTTCCCGAATACGCTATCCAGTTATTATTTTGAGATCAGTGCGCAATGGCAACGTGATAAGGGGTTTAGTAAAGAAAAAAAACACGTTTTGTAAAAAACGTGTATTAAAGAGTACGTAGATCTGAACAAAAGAAAAAAAGGTGTGTAAAAATAAAAATAATCCATGTATAAAACAATTTAACCATTTTATTTAAATAAAGTTAATACGCGTAACGCGTTTAATAAAAATAGGAAACTTTTTATTATAATCATTCGCACAAAACAAAAAAAAAAACGTTATCAAGATAAAAAATTTTTTTTAAAAAAGCAGTCAAGTACAAGAAAAAAAATAAACAATACAAACAACAACAACAAGCCTATTGCTGTAACTGTATTTTTTTTTTTTTTTTTTTTTTTTTGTACAGTAAGTTTTTTTTTAATTTGAATTTTCTTTTTTTTGAGAATGAAAAAAAAAAATTATTTTAGATTGTAGAACCATATCTTGATGAGGACGGTGTAGAGTTTGCAGTACAAAGACCTCAAAGTCCAAATAATAGTCCGCCAGCGGCAGAACACGAACAACGTATGCCTGTTCGACTGCCTATTTCTCGAGTAGCACTGCCAGGCGACAACGAAGATTTATATTCTGGTAGTCCTGCTCGAGCAATGTTTCGAGAACCCATTATTTGTAATTATTTAATGTATATTTACTTTATTAACTATTTATTTAGTCATCTTATATTGTATAACAAAATATTAACTTTTTTTTTTTATAGTACCATCAGTCAAAAGTATATGTATAGGGTGCTGCATGTGTTTGTACCCTCTACGCCCGAAACGAGTATGTTGCATGAAGAGATGCGGGTTAGAGGGAAAATGCACAGGATGCTGCAAGTGCATCTTGAAGAATTTCGAGGATCTCAAAGAACGCATGCAGCACAAAATAGAAGAAAAACATCGACAATGGCTGACACAACCTATGCTATTTCAAGATTGAAATAGCATAGGGTATTTTTTTTTTAATTTTGTATATAGTAATTTTTTTTTTTTTATTATTGTATATAGGATTTTTTTTGTATTCTAAAATAAATTAATTAAAAAAAAAAATTATTTGTTTTTTTATTTAAAAAAAATGAGTTCGACTAAAGAAGAGTTTAATAAATATATTGATTACTTAGCACAACATCGTGAACAATTAAAAAAGCGTATAGAATACAACTCTTACAATAGTTCTTATTTATTGGATAGCATAGCAAAAGATAATAAGGAATTAAATGTATAAAAATAAGTATAAAAAAAGATTATTCATATGATTCAGCGCAAGAAACATTTACAAGATTATATTAACAAAAATGTGCAATTTTTGAAAGAAATTTATCGTATTATAGGCGATTTAGCATATAGATATGTCGAAGTTCCAATCACTTGCAGAACTCTTGTAGAAGCGTTTTTTTGGGAAGCGATACAAGTTTTACAAACTTTTTATTGTTATTTTATCATTGTTAACTATTTTGAACAAAAACCATTGGTTTGCGTGAAATTTATTAATTTATTAAAAGAAATTAAGATATTAAGTTTTTATTATAGACTATCCGCTTTATTTAAATAAAGATAAAAAAGATTGTTATGAGAAAATAAAAAATATAGTTGTTGTAGAAACATATTTGTTATAAATAAAAAAATACAAATAAAAAATGTTTTTTTTAATATTTTCCTTGCCTCGGTTATCACGCTTCTTCATAAGTTGGAGGAGCTTCGGGTAAAGTAGAGAGTGTTGAAGGAGGTAATATTTCGGGCAAAGTAGAGAGTGTCGAAGGAAGTAAATAGATAGTAGAGGGTACATATAATTTACAAGTTTTTAATTGACTTTTAAAAAAACGTCATTTTTTTTCATCGTAGTATAAATTTTGGTATTTGGTATATAAGTCACTTCTTCTGATGTGTGGTAAATAATTTATTAAATAACGCAATTTACTTTCTATAGTTGTATATTCGTGTCCTTTGATTTTTTCAGCACAACCACTGGGAATTTCTAAGCAATATTTTAATGTTTTAACGTTGTCTGATATAAGTTCGTTAGATAACGCGATCAAATCTTCCATTTTTTTATTAATTTAAAACTAAAAAAAAAATTTTTTTTACATTTTTATAAAAAAGGTATTATAAAGAAGTTTGTAACTAAAAACGTTTTTAAAAAAAAGTTCTTGATAAAAAAATTTGTAAGTTTATCTTTTTTTTTTTCTTTTTTAATGAAAAAAAAATTTGAACGATATTAGATTTAATTTACTTTTTTTTTATCTTCAGCATCCATCAGCTATGTTTCAAACTGGAACAGAAGAAGACGAAAATTATACCTATGTTCCGACTAAATTTAAATCATCTTAACTTTGCAAATTAAAACATTTTTATTTTAATCAAATTGACCATGTAAAACTTTTCTTTTTATAAATACACAAATTGCTATTTATAATTAAAAAGAACATTTTTTTTTACATATTTATAAAAAATAATAACCCTTCTACTCTTCAATCTATGAATTATTTATATGGCTCAAAAACGTTGCAGGCGTTATAAAAAACATAGACGATCGCATCGAGGTAGAGGAAAAACTTTTACAAGAATAAAAAATTTTGCTAAACGTCTTCTCAAATCTTGAAGGACAAGCGCTTCAATATATACAAAATCAACGTAATGCTTAAAAAAAGATGACGCGGAAGAGTTTAATTTCCACCATTAAAAGGTGCAGGAAGAGTTTATTTGCCTCCGTTACGCGGAACAGGAAAAAAAGAACAAAAAAAAGACGAATGCGTGGAAAACTTTTACCCATCGCGGCATTATCATCGGCAATAATTCTCTTCTTAACAAAGACTATACTCCCAACACTTGGAAAAACTGCATTAGGCGGTTTAGTATCAGGAGGAATATCTTAAGGAATTAATAAGTTGGGAAAATAAAAAAAAACTACTGTATTAAAAAAATGTTTTTTTTTCTTATTAATAAACAGGAAATGAATGCGTAGCAGGATTATATCCTAATCCTTGTGGTTCTTTTGGTTTTTCTTGCGGTTTTACAACAGCGACTAGAGAATTGGATTCAAATTGTTGCAACGGTTAATTTTTTTCCATTTCTTCTTTATTTATATCTTCTATAATAAAATCTTTTATTTCGACTATGTCTTCCTTTTTTATTTCAACACTTTCTTCCTCTTTTACTTCCTCATGAAACAATTTATATTGAACATTCAACTTTGAATTCTTCTTGAAGCATTTTTTTTTTTTTAAACAAAACAAAAATATTTAAATTTTTTTTTCGTTATTAAAAATAACTATGTTTTTTTTTTTCAATTATAATCAATTGAAAACTTTAAAATTTTATCTTTAGAATTAAATAAAACTTTTAAAGAATCCATATCCATCCATTCCTATTCATTCATTCCATCGTTTAGAACTTCCTCTTTAACTTCTTCTACAACAGAATCTTTTTTTTTTTCTTTTTAATTTTTTTTTCAAGACGTTTCATTACTTTTTGCAAACGATCATCTGGATCTTAGCTTTCTTTATTTATTATTTTATTTTAACTAAAAAAAAATTATTTTATGTTACAAAATATTGTATTTTCGCCATATACTTTTTCATGATTTAAATTATATTTTTCAAACCCTTTACAATAATTTATAAAATTTTTTAATCGTTTTAACAATATTGTTAAACGTTTGTTACGAATATCAAATTTCCATACAATAAATAAATCTAAATTACATTTTTTCTCCTTATAACCAGGAGTATCCAAAGCTATGATATAAAAATATTTTTTACGAATACATGTTAATAAAAAACAAATTTTATACAATTCTTTATTTTTTCTCCTTATAACCAGGAGTATCCAAAGCTATGATATCAAAATATTTTTTACGAATACATGTTAATAAAAAACAAATTTTATTTTTTAACTCTTTAAGTATAACATGACTCAAATTATTTATTAAATCTTCTATCAATTTATATTTTCTTTTTTCTACATCATTTAAAACATTTTTGCATTTTGTTTTTATTTCATGAACATCCATTTTTTTATTCTTTTTTATTCTTTATTTTTATATCGTTCTTCTTCGTTGTACTATACAAATAATACTTTGACAAATAAACCAACAACAAATAAAACCGCATCCTAAACAAGCGAAACCTAAATATTTCAATGCTTTTGGTATTGCTATAACAAAAAACGCATAAATAGCTGCTCCTTCCATTAGAAAAGGAAATGTCACAATCCGAAATACTATTTTTAAAAATCGTCCTTTCGGTTTTAAATATCTTATAACTCTATTTTTAATTTTGCAGCAAAATCCTACTCGCTCTTTTTTCTTGCTTGATTTCGTTTTCTTCATTGACCGCTTTTATAATTTCACCATCTACATCCGCCGAATCCATTTTTTAATACTAAAATACTATATACCATTTTTACTTCTCCTAGCTGGAGGTAACGCATGCGTACTTTTTATTCTCTTTACGTTCTCAATGCGTCACGATCTGATCACGTTTTGAACTCTTTACCAAACCCTTTTCGCGTTTTCATTGTGTCACGATCACGTTCTTATCACGTTCTGCGCTTGCGCAGTCATTTATCAATCTCAATGTGCATGTCTGCGTCCCCTATACAGGGGTGCGCATGCCCAGTAACTACCTCTTTTACATAGGAGCCCTCTTGATCAAATCTCATTGGTTCCTTTTTGGTCACGTGTCAAATATCTGCAATCCCATTGGCTGAGCAGAAAATTTTTCTTGCCGGAAAAATTTTTTTTATACTTATGACCCTAGAGCCGAAGTCAGGGTTTTAGTATTCTGGACATGTCTCATCATATTTAAAGCCATCAATGGATATTTTCAAAGCTGACTCAACCTGGCAATTTCAACAAGTTAACGTTCCTTGCCACACAGCACGCTCAATTAAGCAATACATGAATGAAAAACGGTTGAACCTGATCCCTTGGTCCGCTTGCTTACCTGATTTGAATCCTATTGAGAATCTTTGGAGTTGGATGGACGGTAAAATACAAAAAAGCAAGCTTACTAACTTGGTGCAGCTCAAAACGCAAATGCAAGCGTTGTGGAATACCGTGCAACAAGAACTAATCAAAAAACTTATAGATTCTATGCCGCGTAGAGTCTTGGCATACCTTAAAAACAGAGGTGTTCACATAAAATATTAAACTTTCCTAAAATCTTTGAAAAACTGTAAGTGCGCTAATACTTTTGCACACTTTTTTATTATTGTTTTTTATCACTCTTATTGTATTCTAATTAAATTCAAGATAATAATAAAGAAATATTTATATATTTTACAATTAGTAATTCTGCATTATTTTATGAATTAGTTAAAAAAAAAATTATTAATCAGTCTCTTATTGTTTTAGAAATACAATCCTTTAAAGTCTCTGAGATAAAAAAATATATTGTATTAAGTTATCGTAGACTTTTGAACTTTTTGTTATATGGGGGTTTTTTAAGCATAATAGTTGTAACAATTGAATTTATATCGCCGGTAATCGGTAAAATAAAAAGGTATTCTTGATCAAAAAAATAAGGTTTAGGAGTCACACCCACACTGAACCAGATTTTAGTTTGATGAAATGACATAGGGTTGCGTCATACCTTTTTGAAATTGTTAGAACCATACCATTCAGGGAAAGTTATTGAAAAAAATCATAAAACTAATCTTTAAAAAATATTTGGGTTTATACAGGGGTCAAATAGGGTCTCGGACTTAGGCGCCCCTCTAACTGATATCAAAACCCACCACAGAGGTGCATGCAATTGTTGTACATTTTGTCAAAAAATATGACTAGTCGTTATATGTCCACCTCTGATGGGTCTTAAAAACAGTCTGAGGGGCGCCAATGCCGAGTACTTTTTTCTTCTTAAAATTAAAAAGGAAAAAAAACATTATTTTTAGAAAATGTTTATTAAGCATCATTTAAATGTTTTCCATTGAAACTAACTACTGTTTTTTTCAAATACTTTGCATACTTTTGATGGTTATCAGACACTTCGAAACGTTCCCATGCTTCCTTTAGAAATGAGTAGTGAAGA